AGATCAGACTTGTAGTGATCCTCCTGTTTTCAGCCTCCTAAGCACTGGGAGTACAGGCAGGAGCCAGCATGCCCAGTCTCATTTGCCTTCTCAGTGTCCCTACCCCATGTGCCAGACTGGCATGGCATACTGGGGATTGAACCCTGGTCCCTGCATAAATACATTTTTTTCATGTATTTATTGGCCATTTGTATTCTTCAGAGTATCTGTTTCATTTGCTTTTTTGGGGGGGAGGTTAGATCTTTTATTTTTGCAGTCTAATTTGTTGAGTTCTTTGTATATTCTAGGTATTAGTCTTCTGAGCTGGTAAAAATATTTTCTGTTCTGTAGGTTGTCTTTTCACTTTGTTGGCTGTTTGCTGTGCTGAACCTTTTAATTTAGTATAATCTCATTTGTTGATTATTTGTATTTCTTGTGCAGTTGAGGTTCTATAAGAAAGTTGAGGTTCTGCCTGGCAAAGGCAAGGACCTGGGTTCAATCCCCGTACCACATGGCATACTGACCTGGAACGCCTGGGCAGTAGATGATGACGCATGCCTATAATCCCAGTGCTGGGGAGGCTGAGACAGGAGGATCACTACAAGTCAGAGCTGCATAGTGAGACCCTGTACCAAATGAATAAATAATTTTTTTAAAAAAGAAAGACTCTGCCCAAGTCTAAGTCTTCAACAGTTTCACCAATTTTTTTCTTTTGTATGTGGTACCAGGGATTGAACTCAGGTCCTTGTGCTTGCTAGGCGAGCACTTATTCCACTGAGCTATCTCCCCAGCCCTCACCAATTTTTTTCTTTAGTGTTTCTGTTTTTATATTTAGGTCTTTTGATCCATTTTGATTTGATTTTAGTACAGGGTGAGAGATATGAGTCAAGATTTATTCTGCATATGGCCAGGCATGGTGGTGCACACCTGTATTCCCAGCATTCAGGAGGCTGAAGCAGGAGGATCATTGCAAGTTTGAGACCACCTGCGCTACAAAGTGAGCTCAAGGCCAGCCTGAACTGCTTAGTGAGACCTTGTCTCAAAGCGACCAAAAAGAAAAGATTGGGGCCAGGGAGATGGCTCAATAGAATAAGCGCTTCCCTGGCAAGTGTAAGGGCCTGTGTTCAATGCCCAGTTCCACCAAATTAATTAATTAATTAATTAATTAAAAAAACCAAAAGATTTATTCTGCAGATTTACAGCTAGTTTTCCAGCACCATTTGTTATTGAAGAGACTAGCTTTTCTCCAGTGTATATTATTGGCCCCTTTGTCAAAAATTAGCTGACTGAATGTGCTTTTGTTTCTGCATCCTCTCTTCAGTATGTTTTTATACCAGTACTATGCTTGTTTTGTTACTGCTGTGGCTTTGTAGATATGAAGTCTGAGATTTTGATGCCTTCCAGCTTGTTCTTGATTCCCAGGATTGCTTTGACTATGCTGGGTGTCTTCTAGTTTCAAATAAGTTGTATAAGTATTTTAACTAGTTCTGTGAAAAAAGTTGATGGTATTTTAACTAGGGTCATGTTAAAGATACATACACACACACATACACACATATATGTGTGTATACAGTGTCTTTTTTTTTTTTTTTTTTTTGTAGTATAGCCATTTTGGTGATGTTAGTTCTGCCTATTCAAGATCAGGGGCTGTCGTTCTGTTTTCTTTTTTAATGTATTTAGTACAGGTTCTCACTACACAACTCTAACTTGTAGTGATCCTCCTGTTTCAGCCTCCCCAGCACTGGGATTACAGGTGTCTGCTACCACTCCGGGTTGATGGCCGATTGCTCAGCTCACCCCTGGGGTGGGGCTGGCATTGTACCATCCCAGGGATTGAACCCAGGTCCCTGCGCTTGCAGGCACTTAGTCCACTGAGCTATCTCACTGGCCCTGTCTTTCCATTTTCTAATGTCTTCTTCAGACTTTTTTTTTTTTTTTTTTCAGAGCAGCATAATTTTTGTTGTGGAGGTTTTCACTTCCATGGTTAGATTAATTCCAAAATATTCTCTTTCTTTCTTTCTTTCTTTCTTTCTTTCTTTCTTTCTCTTTTTTTTTTAATGTATTTAGTACAGGGTCTACAGAGTCTCACTACACAGATCAGATTCATAGTGAACCTCCTGTTTTTCAGCCTCCCAAGCACTGGGATTACAGTTGAATGGTACCAAGGCCAGTCTTGATTGCCACCTGGATGCGCCCCAGGGGCGGGGCCAGCATGGCAGACTGGGGATCGAACCCGGGGTTCCTCCTTCTGTCTAAGCAGGCGCTTTAATCCACTGAGCTATCTGGCCGGCTCTAAGATCCTATTTTTCTATGTTATTGTGAATAGGATTGTTTTCTTGATTTTTTTTTTTGGTGGAACTGGGTATTGAACTCAGGCCCTTGCGCTTGACAGGGAAGTACTTATTCTACTAAGCCATCTCCCCGGCTCCTTCATTTTTTTTGTTAGTGGTTCTTTCTGGGGGGTGGTATTTTAGGAAAGGCTGTACATGATGTTCAGGGTCTCACTACACAGATGGGACTCTAGTGATTCTCCTGTTTACAGGTGCTGGGATTACAGGCGCTCACCACCATGCCTAGTCTCAATCGCTGTCTCAGCTGCCCTGGGGGTGGGGCCAGCACTGCAGGTGCCAAGCACTGTGCTAGGGGAGTGGGTATGAGAGGATAAGACGCCCTGAAGCTTTACAGTGAAGATAGTTCATTAGTTATCTGTGGCTGCCTACTAAGTTACCCTAAAATGTAGAGACTTGGCAGCACATTCTTCCCCTCCCCCCACTTTCTGTGGGTCAGGAGCTCAGGAATGACTTCACTGCATCCTGAGCTTTGGGGTCTTTCACAAGGCTGCAGGCTTCACCTTGAGGGCCACCCCCTAGCGTGACAACCAGCTTCGGCAGTGCCCACTGTTATGGGTCACTCAGGATAGGAACCAGATCAGCCAGATTGGAATTTGGAAAGCTGTTTATTACTGAGCTCAGGGCCCCCATCAGCTCTCACGCAGGAGAGGACCAAAAGGCACCTAGCCCAGGAAGCAGGGGGCTTTTAAAACATGAGACCACATTCTGTTTGGTAAACAAATTCATTGACACAAAACAATGCTTTCAGGGTCATTGTGACCACTACCCAAACTAAATTCCCGGGGCTTTGTTTTAGTTTCTGGTTATCTTGCACCTGAGTACCTGCAGGCAACCTTGCATAGCCCGAGGTTACAAGAAGTTAAATCCCATTTAGTTTCCTTATGAAGTCATCTCTGTAATCTAACTTTGTTTACAGGGATTGGTTAGGTAGGAATTTTATCTAGCAAACAGCAAGTAACAGCTATTTACTAAAGTAACTAAGTAACTATTTACTAAACAACTTAGAACAATGGTGAGTATACATTTTTACAGAACAGAAAACACAAGGTTTACGTTTATAGTCTAAAATGTAAGTTGACCCATTACACCCACAAGAGAGAGTCAGCTAGCAAATCCCAAATCACAGCTGTGGGAACTTTAATAGAGTGACTTCTTGTTACTTCTACTTTATTTTAAAATTTTTAATTTGTGCTGGGGATTCAAACATTGGGCCTCACTCGTGCTAGGCAAGTGCTGTACCACCAAGCTAGCTATCCCTCTAGCCCTAAATTTTATTTTATAAATTACAGTAAAGTATTCCATCCCTTATGCTATATTCTTAAAAGCAAGTTCATAGCCACAGCCCACACTCAAGGGGAAGGACTGGCACACAGGTGTGAATACCAGGGGGTATGGATTTGTTAGAAGTCTGCCTACCAGGTATGTGAAACTACTATTGAATGATTGAATTTCTTTCTTTTTTTGCGGAACCGGGGATTGAACTCAGGCCCTTGCGCTTGTCAGGGAAGCACGCTTATTCCACTGAGCTATCTCCCCAGCCCCTTGAATTTCATTTGTGAAAAGGATTTGCAGAAAGAAGTGCCACTAGAATATGTACAAACTGCTCTAAAGCAGGAAGGGCTTCACTGCAGAATCAGATAGGGCTGAGTGTCAAAGGCTGGACAGGACCAGGTTAGATGGGGAGAAGGCTGGAAATAAATGACCTAACCCCCGAAGCTGATAAGTGAGCGCCAGGGAGCCCGGAGGAAGGCTGGAGATGTTGGATGAGCCAGTGACAGATGGTGAGAGCCAGGTCCTCAATGGCTTGACAAGCTTTGGTCTGTCCTGAGATCTGTCATGCAAACTGTGTGTAACTTTAGGGATCAGTGGACAAATACTCATGGGGCACTTTCAAGTGTACTTAGTACCCTGCTAAAGGATGACACAGTTCCACTTCTCAAGTTATCTATAATAACCCAGTTCTCAATACCTACAATAAATAGAGACGTGGCACCCTCATACCCAAAGTCAGTAAGCACCCTGAAAGATAGAATAATGTCATGACCAGAATAATAATATTGGTTGTTGTATGTTATGGGTCAGTACCGAAAGAAACGACGAGAAGACCTGATGAATGTAGCTTCAGAGGGCTCACTGAGATTAGTCTCTCTCCAAGTGAGCCCAGAGCCTCGAAGCATCTCACATTTATTGAGGGGTAAAGGCAGACTAAGGAATGTGCATAATTACTTAAGTGAGTACAAACTACTATCTCTGTTGACTTCCACCATTTGCCTAACACTAGGCTCACACAAGTGCTAGCTGGTAACATCCCAAGCTAGGGATCAAAGGACAGGGCGCCTGCAGGAGAAGCTGTTGTCTACAGCCTTGAAGCCCAGCTTTCGGAGAAGTTACAAACAACAGACAGCAGCTCTCCTGGGCTCTGTCTATTGTTCCCTGCTTTCTTGGGACATTAGGCTTTTGTCTCAAATCTGTATTTCTATAATTGATGAAAGAGTAAGGCAGTGTGCTGCAAATACAGTGGTATCTAACTAGCTAAGCATTCTGAGCACTGTTGGTATTCAGATTTCATTTTAATATGAATGTAGCTTCTGTGATTATATTCATTGAATTTTGCAGACTTTTTTCTAACTTTAAAATTAAAAATGGATTAAATGACTAGAATTAGGGTAAATGCATTATCAACTTAAGTATGTCGATGTTCCATATGTTCAGGACGTGGTGCTTGAAATCAAGGCAGACAAATTCTGGGCCTTAAGTGTAAGGTAATAAGTTTTATAGTGTAATATGAAATACCAAACTTAAGGTACCATATATCCAAGTGTGATTTTTTTTTTTTTTTTTTAATATGAAATTGAACTCAGGACCTTGCACTTGCCAGGCAGACACTGTGCTGCTGAGCTATAATCCTGGCCCCTTGTAAGTGTGATTTTGAATAATTACAAAAAGGGGAGAGTACAGCAGGTGGGGCTGCACTGGGAAGGCTCCTTAGGTGGAGGATGTGACTTGGGGCCTTAACAGTGGTTCTACCAGTAAGGGAGAAAAGGACTTTTCCTCAGAAAATGCAGAAAAGCTGAGTAGGAGGAATGAGTGGATCTTAATTTCAGTATGAACTGATCAATGACTGGCTTCTCCTTTTCTCTGTCTTACCAGAGAAGCTATTAAGTACCTCACAGAAGCTCTGCAGTCTGTCAATGAATTAGAGCTTGAAGATACTCTGGAAAAGATCATTGATGCAGTCGAAAAGCAGCCCTGTAAGTAGTAGTTTCTGAGAACTCTTAAGTTGTTAACCTAGCTCTGCATCTTGGCTAGATTTATAGATTTTAGTCATTTTCAGACAGGGTCTTGCTATGCAGTTCAGGCTGGCCTTGAGCTCACTTTGTAGCCCAGGCTGGTCTCGAGCCACAACAGTCCTCCCACCTTAGCCTCCGAGTGCTGGAATTACGGGCGTGAGGCACTAAGCCTGGCAATAGATTTTATTAAAAAGAAGCGGAGGATGCAGTATTAAGGTATTCCAGTATGGTATGGGAGCATTTCTTCCCAAAAGATTTGTTCAGTTTTCACCTCAGGATGTTCCCCAGAAAAACTTTTACCTTTTACTATCTTGGGGGCGCCAGCACAGGATCTTTTCTGAATTTGATCTGGTCCTTTGAGGTCACTCCTCTCTGTACACCTCTTACTCTGTCTTAAGTTAGGCGTTCCAAGCTAACTTGCGGGGGAGAGGAGAAAAGTGTGCAAGATTGGTTCTTTCTTCGGAGATCTTTTGATTAAATACCTCAATACCACAAACATGAGTCTGCAAAGCAGAAATGCTGTTTTCTTTCAGGAAAAAAAAAAAAAATCCACTCTTCTTAGTGCCCAGAAGGCTAGCAGTCAGTGTGGCTCACTTTCTTGTTTTCTGGTATAGACTACTTATGTAGGAAGTAGTTTATTCTACAATATAGGGGGAAGTGTTACATCTCCTTTTCATTTCTCAAGGCAGAATTCTAAATATACCCTTGTTTAAAACATTTCTTTAGAACTGAAAATTTAGAAAATAATATCAAGAATTATTATTTGTGTTAATTATGCATTAATTGAAGATAGCACATACTGTTTTCCTGAAGATGTCTCAGAGTGGTGAAGGGGCTCACTTTGAGATCAGGCCTGGATTTGTTTTGTTTTCTGCCTCTTCTAGTGTGTTCTTGGGGGCTTGTAAAACTTTTCAAAGTTACATTTTTTCCAGCTACATATAGGATATGGGAGTACTATCACCAGTGTTATAGAGAACATTGTTTAATGGAGTAGTGCTTTGAATACTAAGCACAGTGCCACACGTTTATTAAATACTTCATAAATGGAACTTTATCATTACTGCTTCTACTAGAACTAATTTTTATGCCTGCTGTCTGAAACTTGTGATCTTGAACTTCTCTTTCAGTGTCATCAAACATGATCGAACGACCTGCAGTGGAGGCCGCAGTCCAGGAGTGCAGTCATTCAGCTGAGGAAACGCTGTATGTGCATGAAGTGAACCCTTTTCTCTGTTGGAGCTGTTACTGACTGCTTCTTTTTAACTATTTGTTAGGGATATAATTGGTAAACATTTCTACAATGGTCATTCTTGTTATTTGGATTTTTTTTTGCAAGTGATGGCCTACATGATCAACCATGTTTTTAAATGACTCATCTTTTTTATGTTTTCCCAAGGTGTGTTTGTATAGTTAATTGATTTTTGCTGCTTTGTCCAACCAACCGGACTTCATATTCTGTATGATGCTGGCGAATTGAACTGAGACTCCGGAGTATAATTTACTTTTTTTTTTCAACCATCGGGGGAGTCAAGGGGCTCTAAGTCCAACCACGAAGAGGGCTTTCAGAACCAAGAGAGCGCCCCAGGGCCTCACCCTGTTTTTATTCAGTGGGGGAGTGGCTTGAGGAGGATTGACTGAGAATTGTGGGAAATAGGTGATCATTGTGAGCATAATTTACTTTTGCTCTTAGGAAAATACTGAGCTTGAAGAAGTTCACTGACTTAACTTGGTCACACTGTGAATGGCAGAAAGGGTAAAACCATAGTACAGAACTGTTTTCACTCTCCAATATTTTTTCTAGCTGTTTTTTTTTTTTTTTTGGCGGAACCAGGGATTGAACTCAGGCCTATGTGCTTGCCAGGCAAGCATTTATTCTACTGAGCCACCTCCCTGGCCCCACTCTCCAATATTTTTAAGTGTAGAAATTTATATAGCAGCACTTTGGGAAGTGCTATTTCTGAATGTTTCGTTTTCCCCTTCCTCATAGTACTTTGAAATTCATGGGATTTAACTGTCAGGAAAACATCTGGGGAAATAAGCAGGAAGGCAGTTTTAACTTTAGTAGTTCTTTCTTATTTGAGGTAGTAGAGATGGTTGAAAGGAGTTTTGACCCTTACTATGGCCAGCAGTTTTTCCCTTTCAGAATTTATTAGAACTGCTAAAAATAGAGAAGTTGAAGAGTTTTGATTTTATTCTCACAAACTCTTTTAAAATAGAGTATAGTGACATGCCATGAAAGTCATCCACAGAAATTCAAAATGGTCATACTGAGGTATAAATACTATAATCCTGAAATAGACTGTACCTGTTATTTACTGTGAAGTTAATCTGCTGTTTCTGTCAGCTATTTATTTACATAGATAGTCCCAGATCCTTGCAGCTCCAGTCAGGCAGAGTCATTATATTCCAGCACAAGAGAGATGCTCTCAGTTGTACACGTGAAGAAATGGCCTGCCTTTTCTTCATAACGTGCTGAGCTTAATCCACTAGAAATTGGTGAGGTTGTGCCTAGAATTTAGGTTTCTACAATGCCAAACATTGTTTGACTTTCTTTACTTATTACAAACAGAATAATGTGATTTATTTACAATTTCTAGTTTGGGAGATAAACATTTAACTGTAAGATTTATTTTTCGTTTGGGGTATTTATTGCAAAAGTGTTGTACATTTTTGAAATTCTTTCAGACATGATTATGTTATTAACAGCATCTGAAATTAAATTATTTTGTTGGTTTTCCATCTCTGACACTATAAATCTCAAGGATTTTGCCAGGCTTTTGAGTGTACTTTTTCTGTTATAAAACTTTCTTGGAACAGGTTTTGCTTAATACTTTAGATTTAAAACATTGTTGGAAATGAATCAGATTTTTTCATGCTTCATATATCATGGCTTTAAAAGGTAGTTATAGGGAGAGGTTTCTTTAGAAGGACTATTTTATACATCTTTTTCGACAGATGAGTTTGCTTTCTTTGCAGATTTTTATTTTATTTAGTACAGGGTCTCACTGCATAGATTGAACTCGCAGTGATTCTCCTGTTTTCAGCCTCCCACGTGCTAGGATTACAGGTGTGTGCGCCACTGCCGCTGCCGCCGCTGCCACCACCAACGCCACCACCACCACCACCACCACCATGCCCAGTCTCAATCTCTGTCTCAGGGCATCCTGGAGGTGGGGCTGGCACAGCACATCAGGGATCGAACCCCAGCCGCTGCGCTCTGCCTAAGCGGACACTTTAGTCCACTGAGCTATCTGGCTGGCCCTTTTTATAGATTCTTAATTAGAGGTTAACTTGAATGATTTTTTTTTTTCCTTGAGAGTATTGAGAACCCTTTCTTGTCTTTTGAAAGGAGAATGTACAAGTTAAAACTTTATCCCTGTGTTGTTTTTGGCAGTATAAGAAATTGTGAGCTGGGGGGCCAGGGAGATGGCTCAGTGGAATAAGCACTTCCCTGGCAAGTGCAAGGGCCTGAGTTCAATCCTCAGTTCTGAAAAAAAAAAAAAAAAAGAAAGAAAGAAATTGTGAGTTGGGTGTGGTTGTAGCATGCCCATCATCCCAGCTACCCAGGAGGCTGAAGCAAAGGGATTATAAATTCAAGACAGCTTGAGCAGGGCCGGTGAGAAAGCTCAGTGGACTAAGTGCCTGCTTAGGCAAATGCAGAGACTGGGGTTTGATCCCTGGCATCATGTGCTGGTCCCACACCTGGGTGTACTGAGCTTAGTACATATTCATAGGATAACTATGAATATGAACTGCCTAGTGAGACCCTGTATCAAATACATAAAATAAAAAGGAAAAAGGAAAAAGGAAAAGAAGGAAGAAAAAAAAAGGAGAGAAGTTATGTGTGTGTGTGACTTGAGAAAATCTGAAAAATAGGTTATATGTGATGTTGAATTGTAATGCCATTTAAATAGTTGTTTTAGTAAACCGGATCTGTGTTTTGGGGATGTTTTTCAGAGAGCATATTTTCAATATCATAGGAGCTTTTGATATTCCACGCTTTGTGTACAATTCAGAAAGAAAAAAATTTCTCCCGTAAGTATACTATTAATTTTAGATTGATTTCAAATTTACTTTTCAACAAATATATAATCTCATTTCAATCTTAGCCTCCCTTTGTGCATTTATAATAGTAAAAAAAGGTATTCCTTTTTCTAGTCTATTAATGACCAACCACCCTGCACCAAATTTATTTGGAACAGCAAGAGATAAAGCAGAGCTGTATCGTGAACGATACACCATTTTGCATCAGGTAAGCTGACAAAAGAAATCAGCAGGTAAACACAGACTCCACTTAGCAAATCTTAGAGGTATGTAGAGGGTAGAATTATGTAGTCCCAAGTTACTCATTCAGTAAACTGTTACTGGGCTCGCTATGGTTGGGACCATAAAGGGAATATAGAGATGCAGAAGATAGTTCTTTTAAACCAGGTGTGGTGTCAAACACCTGTAGTCCTTCCTAGCCCTTTAGGAGGCTGAGGCAGGAGGATTGCAAGTTCAAGTTCTGCCTGGGCATCTTGTCAAGGCCATGTCTCAGAATAAGAAGGGCTGGGGGTGAAGCTCAGTGATGGAGTATATACACATTGTGTTTGACCCCTGTAACAAACACGCACACACAGCACCCTTAATAAAATGATTTTTTTAAAAAGTAGCTGCCATTTAATACATCAATTTGATATTCCAGGTAGTATATTTAGCACTTTACATGCATTATTTGCCTCATTTATTTCTGTAACTCTTAGTAGATGCTTAATTGCTATAATTATCCTTCTTTGAAGCCTGAGGGGTTGAGTAACTTGCCCAGAGATCCCCTCTAGTAGGTAGAGATAGGATTTAAATCCTGTCAGACTCTTGAGCCTGGCCTTTGCCTGCTGTGTTCTTCAGTGTTAGACTTTTAAAGGGAGCAGAGTTGTCTTTGTGCTGTGGGAGAGAAACAGGACGCATTTGGTGGAAGAATTGGGCGGCATGGAGTAGCCATGCCCTGTGGTGGGCGAGGCGGGAGAGGTGGGGTAATAGTGTGCAGAGCCCCAGCACAGGAACGGTGCTGGCTGGGTGCGGAGGTGCTGAGCAGCGGGCACAGCCCTGACTGAGCTTGCACTGGTGAGTGGCAGCCGCTCCACAGGAGCCCTGAAGCCTTGGAGCCCTGAGACCCGGCCACAACTGGGTGCTGTGAACCTCACGGCCAGCACAGCCGAGGGAGAAGCAGCCTGGGTGTGAGGAGAAGGCGGAGAGACGGTGAAGGTTCAAAGGATGAACAGCTCTGGAGTTTGAGGAATTAGGACAGCAGAAAAATGTCAGTGTATTAAATAGGAAAAAGAGAATGTGGCAACCAGTGATGGGTTCATGGGAGCATTGTGAGAGGCTGCTGGAAGAGCATTGTGTGTGTAGTCCAGGACTGAGGAAAGGAGGCAGGATGGGGCTCCGGCTGTGGCAGCCAGAAGAGGCTGGGACCCAGGGCTGGGAGCTGAGAGGAGAGAGGGCAGGGCTGGCCGGGATGGTACTGCCTGGCGTAGCATAGGTTCTAGGGAAGCCAGGAGGTGACCGGGTACAGGTTGGGGACCAGCAGAGCATTTATCTTCTGAGGGTAACTGGTCTCACAGTTTCACACTGAGCCTTCAAAGGAAGTTTACTGCTGCTGCTCACCTAGTACACATTGTGGCCTAGTTTCTTTTCCTCTAATTCTCCCAGATCCAAAACTGAAATATGGTATTTTGAGTAGAGTGGGGAGTGGGGATTGCCCCCAGGACCTGTAGCACTGAGCTACATCCTCAGCTCTTTTTTTATATTTTGAAAAAAGGTCTTTGTTAAATTGCCTGGGCTGGACTGCTTTTTTTAAATTCTCCTCTTTTGAGACTGGGTCTCTATGTAGTTTAGGCTGGCTGTGAGCTTACTTTTTAGCTTAGGCTGGTCCCGAACTCTTTCCAGTGATCTTCTTTTCTCAGCCTCCCCGACTGCTGGGATTACTGGCATGCAGTCCTATGCCCAGCCCACAGCACTCATCACAGCGATGTCTAGTAAATACATTTCTTTTGTTTGTTTGCTCTTGGTGTTTATTAGTTTGTTTGTATTGAGACAGGATCTCCACTGTGTAGCCCAGGCTGGCCTCAGGCTCTTAGTGATCCTCCTGCCTCAGCATCCCAAATGCTGAGGTTATGGGCATGTGCCACCTGGCTCTGCATTTCTTTCTTTAAAATATATTTTAAAGTGTTATATTGTTGTATGTGTTTCAGATATCTTAAAGAGTGCCTGCCTGTAACCCAGCACTCAAAACGCTGAGGCAGGAGGATTGCCCTGAATTTGAGGCCAGCCTGGGTTACATAGTGAGTTCAAGGTCAGCTTGCACTACATGGCAAGACCCTGTCTCAACAAAACAGAACAAAAAACCAAAATAGTGTTTTAAAGTTTTATGTTGTTTTGAGTGTGGGGCCCAGACCTTCTGAGCTTCATTTTTGTCACCTGTACCATGAAAAGGTAGCATTTCAAGCCACACATATTTTCATTGCAATTAGCCTTCTGAAAACAAATTTGATTTTATTGTTGTCCTACTTCAGACTCTTTGCTTTCTGTTGTTTATAGTATACATTCCTTGAATTAGGATACAAGATCTATATTATAAGGGCTCTTTTTTTTTTTTTTATGTATTTGATACAGGATCTTACTACAAAGCTTGGACTGAGAGGGCTTTTTTTTTTTTTGGCGAACCGGGCATTGAACTCAGGCCCTTATGCTTGCCAGAGAAGCGCTTATTCCACTGAGCCATCTACCCCTTGTAAGGGCTTTTTTAATTTGAAGTTAGAGCAACTCAGCTGATTGAATCTGAAAAAGGAGTATGTTAGTTTAAAAAGAGTATGTCAGTGACCGAGAAGTCTAGAGGCCTGCTGGTTTCCAGAATGACTGGCCCCAGGTGCTGGTCCTAGGCATCTGTTGTTTTCTTTCTTTGTTTCTTTTTTTTTTTTTTTTTTTTTTTTTTTTTACAGTTTCAAAGCTGATTAATAGGACAGTTTCAATAATTAATACATTGTACATTGTTATCTTCTCAGTGGTTATCCATAGTCTAAGAAGCAGACAGGATATCCTGTCCAAACACTATTAGTACATCTCTTTCTTCTCACTGAATTAAGTGAAAGTAGCTGTATATTTATCCTGTTTTGTATATATAAATACAAAATGATCTTTCCTTTGTATCCCTTTTTTTTTTCCCCTGTCAGAGGTGCATATTCTATTGGCATCTAAATACCATAGGTGTTTGAATTCCGCTAAACAATCCAACACTGTCTAGCAATCTATAATATTAGTGGGTTATCCTCAGAAGTTACTGACTTGAGCCTTTTATAGCTCATCGTATTAATATGGCTTTATTATTTTTTTGTGGAACCGGGGATTGAACTCAGGCCCTTGCGCTTGCCAGGGAAGTGCTTATTCCACTGAGCCATCTCCCTGGCCCCTATGGCTTTACTTTATTTTTTTTATTTTTTATTTATTTGTGTGTGTGTGTGTGTGTGTGTGTGGCCAGCTCAACCCACCAGGGGGCGGCCCTGGCTGGCATGTGGTGCTGGGGGATCGAACCGCGGTCCCTGTGCCTTGCCAAGCTTGTTCCAAGTAGGTGCCTTAGACCACTGAGCCATCTCACCAGCCCCTATGGCTTTACTTTATATACCTCGTTTTTATACTTTTCTGCTGGATGTTTAAGACCAAGATATAGCAAGACCTATATAATAAATGTAACTTTTGTATCTGATAAGGTGAGTCAAGTACTCTCAGGATTTATCCTGTAGCCCTGTATCGCACTTTGTAGATCCTTTGTCAGTGTCAGTCATAGGATGAGTCACGGCCATTGCTTGACCAGTTTGCTCTCTGTGAAAGCCTGAGAAAGTGTTTTTTCTCTCCATGTAACTCTCCTTAGGCTCACTATACATCGATCACATTCCTCTGTGGCTCCATAATCTTGATCAGAAAATTTGGAGCACAACTGAGTTACATGTTCTTACAGTACAGGTTCTCCTATGTCCTGAGTCTACACTGACCTTGAAAGGCTAGGGCCAAAATGTTGGCTGACCTTGCAGCCTTCCTTTTCTCCAATTTTGAACTGCTAACTTAGATTGTTAACCCTCCAGAAGAGAAACTTATTACTAACCTGCAATATATGCAGTTCAGTTTACCCTGTCTAAATATCAGACATCTTTGGCATATCATGGAACAGGTATTTTCCATCAAATATTGATATGTTGAACTTTAAGTCCTTACGGAATATGAAGGAAAAATAATTTTGTAAAAATAGAAATAAGCATTAACATATTTTTACAAAGAAATTTAGAAATCTATCCATATACAGAACTGTAACAGGACAGACCTGTGACATTTTTTTTCTTGTGTCTTTTTTTTTTCAATTTATTACCCTTAAAAAAAAAAAACCTTTACTTGAGAGACATTATGGCAATAAATGGTATGTCATGACAAGAAATACATATTTAGAAGACCAGGATGGCATGCATTCCAAGGGTGACACCTCTATTACACATTGCCATCTTCAGTGCAGCCGCCTGGCTCACAGGCACCAGCATATACAGTTAGACAGGCACCAGCATATACAGTTAGTCAGGGTGAGAGTCTCACCAGCCAACCGCTAGTCTCAAAAACCTGCTGATGTACCCAGGATCACTGCCCCACCCATCTCAGTGTACAAATGTATGGCTTTGCCCCTGTCATGTTTCCCAGCTTTTTCCTTGCCCACTCCTCATTGACCAGTCCTCAAGTTCTCACTTTCCTTTTATTTGTGTTGTAACTTTTTATATGTAATTCCTCTTTTAAGTTCTTATACTAGGGAGACAATACGATATTTACAGATGTGCTCTGGTTTCTTTCACTTATATCTTCAAGTGGCAGGAACCAGGGATTGAACTCAGGCCCTTGGGCTTGCCAGGCACGTGCTTATTCAGCTGAGCTGTCTTCCCAGCCCCTCATCTGTCTTTCTCGCCCAGCTCTTTTTAATACTTGACTGTGTTTTCAAATAACTGTCCTTCAAGAAGTGATAAAAATTGTACTAGCAGCCCTAGTAACTCTCAGAAGGAGAGTCCTCTTCCTCTAATCTAGAAAAGCTGAGTGTATCTTGTATTGGCCTAGCTTGAGGCGCTTGCTCAGCCGCCAGTCTGTCACTGGCCACAGATGAGCACTTTTACTGTCTGAGCCTCCTGGGCTGTTGTAGCGGAGGGACGCGTGTCAGGTAAGGTCAGCTGCAGGCGTGAAGGGAGATGGCTCCCCCGGTAGCTGCCCCTCCTAGTTTCTTCCTTGTCTGGTGTTCTGCCCTGTATACCGTACACCACCATGTCATGACTCTAAACTGCAGTTTTGCACACATTCCTTTATTCTGATCCTTCTGTGGACACCCCCGTTTGTTTGCCTGAGATGTCTGTGTTCTTTGCCAGCCAGGTTTTATTTATCATGTAGGATCTTGTGAAATGACTGTTGGCCCAGCGCACAGTGCAGCCTCAGAGTACCCTGTGGTGTGGTCTCTCACTGGTCTCCGTGCTCAACTTTTTCATGAATTTTCAGTTTCTAATATTACTTTACTAGACATCTGTATGTTGTACTGTTATTTGCATTTTCAAATTTGTAGCAAATAGGTAATAGTAACAGTTTAAAGACAGTGTTTGGTCTATTTTAATGAATCTTAGTTTTAAATGTCAGTTTCAATAATTCAAGTGAATCTTTCTTTTTTATAGAGGACCCACAGACATGAATTATTTACTCCTCCAGTGATCGGTTCTCACCCTGATGAAATGGGAAGCAAATTCCAGGTTAGACCATTATCCTAATTATTGAGGGGTTGTAAGTATACAAGACTAATATATATTACTTAATTTTGGTTCGCCAAATTCTGAATGCAGTTAAACTACTGCACTTGAGCTAACTGGAGCGGCTGTGCGACTGCTGAGCCTGCGCGTGCACAGGGCCTGTCTTGTGCTTGCTCCCCGCCACACCACGCCTCGGCTGCCAGCTTCATGTGCCGGCTGCCTCACTGGCGTCCGGGGGACTTTCCCACACTGTCCTTGCTGCCCTCCTCTAACACAGCGCTGGTCCCTGTCACGAGCACACATCCTTGCATACTTGTTCAGCTAACACATGTCCCCTAATTTGGAGCGAAAACTTTGTTTAAGGTACTAAGGAAATGCTGGGTTAGTTCCCCAGCATCAAAAAAAGGGAACCAGACAACAAGAAAATAAACGAAAGAAGACACTAAGAAAGCATTTATAGAATGAATACAAGACCATGTCCTGCTGAGGGCTGGAGATAGCTGAGGAACACATGGTAAAAGAAATGCTCCTTCCCCTTTTATACTGTTACACTTTGGAAAGCAGGTGCCAGGGCATCTACTGTTGCAGTGACACGGCTGGCGCTGGTCGCTGTGCTATGGCTTTGTCTCTCCTCGCCAGCGTGTAGAATGTTGGTGCTTCTGTCTAGGCCTCACCAGTTCTGTGAGGCTTTGAAGAGGCCCAGACTCTTGAAACTTACACCTTCTTCACCACAGTAAATCAGAACTCATAGCATGAAAGTGGTCTGTTAGAAACACCAATAGTGGTAATGTTCAGGGGAGTAGGTAAAAGCAGCACTACAGGGAGGAAGCATTTATAGTGTTTAATAGTTTCTTTTAACTGCTCTTAGAAGAGGAATTAACTTTCGAAAATTGACGTTACTGGGCCAGGCATAGTCGTGCACCCCTGTAATCCCAGTGTTCAGGAGGCTGAGGCACAAGTATCACCATGAATTTGATGCCAGTCTGGATTAACAGTGAGTTCAAGGGGCTGGGAAGATGGCTCAGCAGAATAAGCGCTTCCCTGGCAAGAACATGGGCCTGAGTTCAATCCCCGTTTCTACAAAAAAAACAAAACAAAACAAAACCCAGTGAGTTCAAGGCCATCCTGATCTGCATAATGGGATCCTGTCTCATAAAATAGAAGGGAGGGAGGCAGGCAGGCAGGCAGGCAGGCAGGCAGGCAGGCGTTATTTATATTTTCCTACCAAAAACCTCTTATCTTTTTCTCATATATATTATATTCTCATGGCAACTCAGATTCTGTTGTTCAGGAGCATTTCTTTTTCTCCTCTTTGCCAAAGCAACTTTGAAGTTTAGCTGAATAATTTATTGTTTTTTGCAGTCTCTTGGTTTAATTCTGCATCTGTGATAGTCCATTTCTTATTTCAATACATTTATAGTAACTAAATAGTAATCTCCCTTGCCAGATTGCAAGTGTGCCCGGCTGGAAATGATCTGTCAAGTTTCAAGTTTTAGGTTTGTGTATTTTAAGTGGAATTATATTACGAGGTAATAGTGATAATAGGGCTGGGTGGAACTGTATATGTCTAGATTTCTTTATTTGTATTTCTAAGTTTCTAGTAAATGAAAAACTCTCTAGGTTACTTATAATACTTAATTCAAGTGCTTGGGGAGGCTGAAAACCGGAGGATCACTACGAATCTGATCTGTGCAGTGAGACCCTGTACTAAATACACTTAAAAAAAAAAAAAAAAACTTAATTCAGTATAAGAACTTTAAAAGTTAAAAAAAAAGGGGGGAGGGCAGTCAAATAGCTCAGCAGATTAAAGCGCCAGCAAGGGCTGGAGAAATAGCTCAGTGGTTATAAGTGCCTGTCTGGCAAGTGCAAGGTCCTGAGTTCGATCGCCAGTACCAAAAATAAATAAAAAAAAATAAAGCGCCCGTAAGCAGGTGCAGGGCTGGGGGTTGGATTCCCTGGGCCTGTTGTACCAGCCCCATCCCTGGGGCGCACTGAGATGGCAATTGAGACTGGGCGTGGTGGCGCATACCTGTAATATCAGCATTTGAGAGGCTGTAAACAGGAGAATCACTTGAATCTGATACCTAGTAATGACACCCTGAACACCCTGTAGACCCTTCCCTAAATACAGAAAAAATAAAATAAAATAAAAAATAAAAATAAAATTACACCATTTGGGGAATGATGACAAGAATAAAATATTTGTATATGTTCAGTACAAACAAAATTTTGTTTTTAAATATTTTTGATGGGAAATAAATACTGTAGAACTCACTGGAACTGGGGAGATGGCTCAGTAGAATAAACACTTGCCTGGCAAGCACAAGGGCCTGAGTTCAGTCCCCGGTTCTGCAAAAACAACAACAACAACAACAACAAAAGAAAACAGAAGTAGAACTCACAGATATAGGTGGCTGTCTAAATGTATATTATTAACATAGATGTAGGGATAGGTATAGAAAAAATTGAATTAATTCTTTAAAATGGTGTCCCAGTTGTTACTGCTTTAACTTTTTGACAAAATTGTAATGGTCAGATGGAGAACGTAAGTAATAATGACAACTGTTCAATGGATTACGTAAAATTAGAATATAACCTTTTAGGGGCCAGGGAGATGGCTCAGTAGAATAAACACTTGCCTTGCAAGCGCAAGGGTCTGAGTTCAATCCCTGGTTCCGCCAAAAAAAAAAAAAAAAAAGAATATAACCTTTTAAAAGCTAATTTTTGAGGGGTACTGATCAATAAAATGAATGTAATTGTTATCCCATATTTTGAAAAAGAAATATGCTAAGTCAGAGTGATATGCCATAAGGTTTTAGTCACTTAGTAAGTTCAAGTTGATAAAGTATTTTATAGTATATAGTGTATAATTTTTATTTTTATTTTTTTATTTTTATTTTTTTATTTTTATTTTTTTTTTTAGTATATAGTGTATAATTTTTAGCCCATCATGAATGTAGTATCTTAGCTTTTGTAAACAAACTTTCTGAGTTTTGATTTTCTGCTGTTAACTAGCTGTAAAAAACAAGATATTCACCCAAAATTTACTTATTTATGAAAAAGTTTCCTTAAAAGAATGCTTTTTTTAATCTGTAAGAACTGTTTGTGCTTTATTTTAGCTTAAAACAATAGAAACTTTACTGGGTAGTACAACCAAGATCGGAGATGTGATTGTTCTTGGAATGATAACCCAGTTAAAAGAGGTAAGTTAAAAGAACTAAGATATATCGTGTACAGATACAGATTCCCTATGATGATTGTGAGCATTGTATATTTCTAAATTGTACCAGTAAGTCACATTTTTTTAGAAAGGGATATGTACATGCATCAGTCTACACATGGGATATAAACATTAGGTACTGCAAGCATGTACTAATAAAATGAAGTTAAACTGAAAAAAAACCGCACAGGTAAGTTAAACTTCAGTAAGCATCAGACTTTTATTTTCAGGCAGGATTAGTGAAGTGCTGGTACTGTGGAGCATTTCCACAGGAAGGTATTCTTCATTGAAAACTCACCTCGTGCACTAAATGACCTTCTCATCAGTGCTTGGTTTCTTTAGTAGACAGCAGAAAGGGGTTTCTCCTCCAGGTGCCCAATTTGCATAGCCTGAAGTTAGCTTCCAGTGGCCTCTCGTTGAACCGAGAGCCGCAGACCACATCCTGGTGTCCTGGCAGCTGGTGGGTTTCCTAGGTGAAGGCACCTGGTGCGGCCCTCTTGTTGCAGCTACCCCAGTGCCTCCAGCCACCTCTTGATCTGCAGCAGCCATTCCTCGGGACACTATGACAGTGCCAAGGTCGCTTAATTCATTAATTCACTTAATTCATTAGTCTGAGGTCGCCAAGCTATTGCTATTAGTGGAAAATACTGGGCTTGGAATTGCTGATATTTAAAAATGTGTTCTTGGAGGGGCCGGGGAGATGGCTCAGTGGAATAAGCGCTTCCCTGGCAAGTGCAAGGGCCTGAGTTCAATCCCCAGTTCCGCAAAAAAAAAAAGTGTTCTTGGCTCTGTTGTCTTCTGTTGTCAGACTTGTTAATATTTTAATTTTTTTCATAATGTTTATTTTTATACAAATGTATATGTATTTCTTTTAATTCTGTTTTAGGGGAAATTTTTTTTGGAAGATCCTACTGGGACAGTACAACTGGATCTTAGTAAAGCTATATCCTACACTTTTGTTTTGTGTTGTTTGCTGAGAATGCTTCTTACTCTGTTGCCCAGGCTGGTCTCAAATTCTTAGGCTTAGGCATCTTGCATCCTCCACCTCCTAAGTCTCTGGGACTGCACCCCCACTCCCTTCACTTTTAAAAATCTGTGTTTTTAAAATTTATGTTACATGAATTAGGGAAATGGAGGCTACACCATCCTTAAATGTACTTATTTGGCTTCCCCAGGGTTCTATATGGTGTTTGCATGAGATAACAGAGATATAATCCTAAACAGACACAGAAGGACTTTGAATCCTGCTTATTTGGAGAATTTCAGATAAACTGATAAAGTTTCTAATAAGCTAAAAATGATCTAAACTGTCAATATTCCCAAGTTACATCTTAAAGTACACATGGGGGCATTAAAACCTAAAATGGTCTATGTTTTAAGTTATTGTTCACAATTTCAAATGGGAAGTCTGAATTTATTACTTAGAAATCTTGGGCTCAGCCGGTGTGTTGACTTTATTGGTGCCTCAAGCACAGTAGTAGAAATATTGTCCTTAGCAGCTGCGCACCAGTTCCATAGCGGTTTATACACAGAGGCGTGCTTTGTCTTGGCAGAAGGTAAGTCAGTGTACTCTTTTCCTGTCTTCAGTGTTAACCAGTGAAAGCATTTCTCTTTGGGTGAGATTTGTTCACATGATATAACTTAGGAGGACACTGATCATGACAGCATGTGTTCCACAACTTAAAGTAACCCAGACTGCTGAAAGGCAGATAGAGACCTTTTGGGATGATAACTGTGTTTTCAAACTAGTAGGGGTAACAACCTGTAAATATACAAAAAACCATGGAGTAGTACACTTTTAAAGGGTGAATTAAATGGTATGTAAACTATCATTAATAAAGTTGGGGAAAAAACCCTGTAGTTTTTATTTGGGTCATAGAATGAAACATTTTCTAGTACATATATATGATATATCTAATTTTTCTGTGCTCCAGCATGTACTATGAAATTAAAAAGGGTAATCCTCAGCACAAAAAAAATAACTTTCTAATTAGTACACTTTTATTTATAGAATTAATTATTATTATTATTTTTTTTGAGACAGGCCTCGCCCTGCAGTCCAGGCTGGCCTCAACCTCACTGTGTAGCCCAGCGTGGCCTGGTGCTGTGGCAATCCTCCTACTTCAACCTCCCAAGTGCTGGAATGACATGTGCGCCACCATGCCCGGCTATTTATAGAATTTATGTGGCTCTGAAGTTGTTAAATGTGGGGCAGTAGGATTGGCAGGTTCTGTAGTTAGTATCAGGGCATGGACTATGGCGTAGGAGTAGCGGTAATGCTTTGAATAACACTTTTGTCCTTGCAAACTAGAGAGTTGGACAAGTGGAAGTGATTTGTGTTTCATCTTTTTTCAGGTTGGTTTGAAGATCAAGTGTTCCATGTCAATGCTTTTGGGTTTCCACCCACCGAGCCCGCAAGTACTACCAGGTATTAAAATGTTTGATTTAGACTACTGGAATTTGATAATACTGAAGGTAGAAAATATATGTTTATGCTAATTATTACAAGATTGAAGGCTTTGTGTTAAGATGGAGAGAACAATGGAAAATGAGAGTTGGAAGCCCCAGTTTCTAAATATATGTAACTCAAGTGGTATATTGGCCTGAGATTAGTTTTAGTAGCAAGTTTGTATGTTTGCTTCACTGGGAGATTTCCAGTGTACTTACCTGTCGATAAGCTTGGGGAGACATGAGATAAAGGAGATAGGAAAACACTTAGACGGATGTAATTATCCTCTTAATATAAAGGTCTTTTGAAAAAACTTATATGAAAGTTATGAGATAGATTATAGCTCCTTGGTAGAAGCAAATGCATCACAAAATTAGAACTGTTCCAAAAGAACCTTTCTGAGTCAAGTGAGTACTGTGTCCCTCTAAGTAAAATTTGAACAAGCTGGATGGACATGGCAGTGCATCTGTAATCTGTAACCCAGCACTTGGTTTTTATTGTTTTAAAACAAGTCCTTTGGGCCAGGAGATAGCTCAGTAGAATAAGCACTTGCCTGGCAAGTGCAGGGTCCTGAGTTCAGTCCCCAGTACCGCAAAATAAAATAAAATAAAATAAAAACAAGTCCATGAATTGGAGGCCAGCCTGGGCAATTTAATACAGTAAAAAAAAAAAAAAAAAATATGGTTAAGAGTTTTAGTTAAGACACTGAAGCCGCAGGATTGCAAGTTTGAGCCCTGCCGGGCAGTTTAGCAAATGAGGCTGTCTCAAAATAAAAGACGACTAGGGATGTACTCAGTGCAAAGGCCCCAGGTTCAATCCCCAGTAACCCCCCCCACACATACACGGAGGGAGTTTTCTTCGTTATGAGTATTACCTTTAATTCTGTCAAACACGGAAACTACTGAGTGCTTGGTATGTATGCACACATACTGTATATATAAATGGATTCTCATTTATACTTATGGATTCTAGCTAAAATCTATCTGTAAACCCATAGGACTGTAAGCATCATAATTTCTTGGTGAAGAGAAAATAAGGTAGAAGACTAATTGTGTTGTAGGCACAATGAATAATTTGAATTGTGAGACATAGCCCAGTGGAGGTGAGACAGGTGACACTGCCCTCTTCTTTTGTCCTCATTAAATAGTGACAGAGGACAGAGAGCCCAGGGCAGCACAAGGTGGCCGCTGAGAAGCTGCAGTGCTGGGGCAAGAGGCCTGCGGTGCAGTCTCTCTCGGCTCTCTGTTTTAGGTCCTCTAAAGCGATGCATGGTGGGCATTCCTTTGTAACCTGTTTCTTTTTTAAATTTAGTAATATGCAGCCAGCACTTTCGATGAGTTGCATGTGTTACTGCATGATTTGTGACATTCAGCCTATCTGTAATTTCTTGGTGTAGCAATATAAGGTAGAAGACAATAATTGTGCTCTAATTACATAGGGCATACTATGGAAATATTAATTTTTTTGGAGGGCCTTCTAATACATCTGTAAAGACTTCTGCAAAACTAAAACAACTTGAAGATGAAAATAAAGACGCCATGTTTGTGTTTATATCTGATGTCTGGTTGGACCAAGTGGAAGTGTTGGAAAAACTTCACACAATGTTTTCTGGTGAGTATTGTCTTTTTTCACCCTTCTTTATTTGAACTGTGGTCAGGGCTCATCTTTTAACACAAATTTCTTTCTGCTGGCGAGTTGTCTACCCCAGCCTTAGCCAGGAGTTCCCCTGAACCCGTGAGTTGGAGGCAACTCATGCAAGAACAAGTTCTTAGCTCAAAATAAAATGAAAAACTAAATTCTTTCTTAAATGTACATTTTTTAGTGTTCTGTTTCTTTTGAAAAAATGAACGTGTAGGGCTGGGGAGATAGCTCAGTAGAATAAGTGCTTGCCTGACAAGCGCAAGGTCCTGAGTTCAATGCCCAATACCACCAAAAAAAAGAGTTTTTTAAAGAAAATTTGAGACTTACATTTTTACATTTGAAAAGTAACTGTTTGTATATGCTTGCGTTTTTGTAACACATTAGAATTAGTCCTGAGCATAGTGTAATAGAGGCAATGGCCAAGAGCTTGGCCTGTGGATACTGACAGAACTGTGGTGACGTGCCTTCCTATTACCTTGCGCAGGTTGTTTAACCTCTCTAAGCCTCAGATTGGAGAGATGTTCTGGGGCTTCATTAAGCACTGCAAGATGTGGCTGTGCTAAGTGCTCAACAAGTAGACATTATTGTTACTATTATTTTAATCAAAATAAGTTGGGATAACTTCATAATAAAAGCACGC